AGGCCAAGATGTTTGTAATTTTTTTAATGTATAACTGCAATTGCTTTTAAAAAGAAATACAAAAACTGACAAATGACTTAGATTAATACTTAAAAAGTTAAGCCTATTTTGAGAGGAAACTTTATTAGATCTCATCATAGTCAAATTCAAACATTTACAGTATTTCAAAATAACACTCTTGTGTAATGGAAATCTGCAAGCGACTGAGGCCGAGGGTGAGGGAGGGCATGTGAACCAGGCTTTAGAACAAGGGCAAATTCTGCCAAACTTTCTCTTTTCCTCCCCCATGTCCCGTTAGACGGTGGGTGGGGCTTCACACAATAAACAGTTCATTCATTCACAGTAGAGAAGAGTTTTTGTGGCAGTGACGTATGTCTCTTGCCTGCTCTTCAAGTTCACACATCTGGACTTCTTTAAAACAATTATAAGTGATAATCTTTATTAAAAATAAGTGAAAAACTGTTGACATTTTCAAGAAAAAAAATTTAAGAAGTAAAAGTGTTAAAAATTTAGTTTGATTAGTTATTCTGTATTTCAAAAATATCCTCATTTATGATTATGTTTTCAGCTAGACTTGGTGACTTTTTCATAGTTAAACAAATTTTGAAGATATATAATTAGTGAGAAAATGTCATTATATAGGAAGTTAGTTTTTACTCACTTGGGGGAAAAAACTTACCTTACAAAGAGTATTTGTAGACCAAGATGTAGGCTACGTAATTAAAAAAAAAAATTATAAACTAATGAGTTAACTAAAACAGTTTCATGGAATTTCAAATAAATACAAAAACTGAGAAATGACTTAGATAAATACTTATAAGCCTATTTATAAATTAGAGGAAACTTTATTAGATCTCATGCTTTAGTCAAATTCAAACATTTACAGTAGGCCTATTTTAAAATAAACACTTAGTTCCATATTTTTGCATTTTTTTTTCAATTAATAAAAAACCTTTAACACCAAAATATAAGTTTGATACACATACATATTGTGTTTTTTATATGGTATAAAAGCTTTTAACCCTTTCCACTCGGATTAGTTGACCCCTTGTTGTCCCATACGCTTGCATTTATTGCCATGCAAAAAAACATGTTTTAAGTTTTGTGTACATATACTGACTAAAATAAATTATTTGTTGTACTTGAGGGCTTGATTCTTATTCAGCATAAAATTGTACACAAGTAAAACAAAATATCAAAATAAATATACCCATAAAATATTTTTTGTGTGGTCATAATATAAAAAAAAGCAAAATAAAATGTACAAAATATTTTTTAGGAGGCTTTTTAAAAAACGTTAACACATTTTCAGGATTTGTAAAACACTTTATCAACATTAGATATCTAGTTGTCAATTCAAATCAGCCATTACAAGAAGGATTAGGTGTATTTTTAATGAAAAAATGCATTTTCAAACTTAGATTTTTTGGTGATTTTGGTCGTCATGGTTACTATTTACACTTCTCTATTCTTTAATCCACAGCTGACTAAATAAACTTACAATTATTTTTCAAGCTACCAAAGACATGTAAAATGAATAAGGAAATCATTAAGTTTGTATTCAACACAAATTCAAAACATGCAAACACTATATAAAAGGGATTTATTAATAAAAAGCCGATGCTGAAAATGTCGCGGCGGCCGCGACATACGAGTGGAACGGTCAGACTTGAATGTCGCGGTAGCGGCGACATACGAGTGGAAAGGGTTAACCAGGTCTATTTTTGGTGAATTGAGAAATGCTTTGTTCGTAAAAATGAAGATGTAGGTTTTTTGCCACAGCTATATGTAAAATAAAATTGTTGATTTTCTCGTGAACTACTCGACTCGACTCGACTCGATACTCGAGTATTAGGGCTAATTACTCGACTCGACTCAAAAAAACACTACTCGCCCATCCCTACATTTAGGCATATTCTTATCTCAAAAATCCTTTCGGGCTCCGCCCCAGTGGGTCTGTAGTTCCCCATGTTAACCTTATGAGTATTCATATTTAAAGGGAATTAAAGAATTTACTCAGCTGTTTCAACTTTACAAGTTGGTTCTATTATATGCAATAGCATTAAAAAATTATAAGAAGGTTTCCCAACAGGGTGCAGCACTATTATTATTTTGTTTGTGCATATATGACAACAGCTAATTTGATTATATTGAATTTTAGCCTCCTGATCGCATTTAAACACTATAAATTGGTGTAAAATACCTGCATTTATGCGATCCTGTGTTGTAGCTGAGTTGCTACCGGTTTCAACTCACATTGGAGTCATCTTCAGGCAGTTATAAGATGTCTTCTCGCTTCATTCGAAGGTCGTCAAATGGATAATAAATAAACAAAACACAAACACGTACACGGACATAAAAAAGAACATTTAAAGCTGTAAAAATACTGAAAACGGTAGGCCTACGGGACACGACACGACGTGATCGGGCGAAGTCGACGTGATCGACTAGTCTAGACAAAACTTTCGCCCGATCACGTCGTGTCGTGTCCCGTAGGCCTACCGTTTTCAGTATTTTTACAGCTTTAAATGTTCTTTTTTATGTCCGTGTACGTGTTTGTGTTTTGTTTATTTATTATCCATTTGACGACCTTCGAATGAAGCGAGAAGACATCTTATAACTGCCTGAAGATGACTCCAATGTGAGTTGAAACCGGTAGCAACTCAGCTACAACACAGGATCGCATAAATGCAGGTATTTTACATTAATTTATAGCTAATTTGAACTAAGCAGCAACAAAAAGCTGTGATACACAATGAGAACTGTCAAAGTAGGATTGTTTACAGTTAGGTTTTAGTTTTTAATTTAACGAATAATTTGATATTGTGCGAATGTTTGATAATTTTTTTTTCTATTGTTTAGGTGCAATAGTAGAAAATTATGGCAATGGTAGATGTGTTATACTATATCATACCGTAAATTTATGAACCAAATTTGATCAAACTATGTCCTCCCCCCATTGCAAACGCAAAGCTTGAGCATAACTGCAATAAGCATTTTATACTTATATGCCAACCCCGTACGAAGGACGGGTGCTCTGCTAGTAATACATAAAATAAACACAGTGGAACACATCATACCGTCAAAATAATTTTTTACACGTTTTTAACTATGCGGATATATCCGCTACCCGTCCGCGGATGAGTAGAAATGCAGCGAATACATCCGCCACCCGTCTTTGAAGATATGACCATGACAACGTTAGGCAATAAATAAAGAACAATATGTAAACAATAAACAGAGACAACGTAATGTTGAGCGCGAAACGTCGAGGGGAGGAGTGTAGGAGGTGTGGTAGGTGCGCGGGAGGGGGTGAGGCACAGGAGAGGGGTTGGCAGGGGAGTGAGGGGGAGAGCGCAGTCATGGAAAGAGCAGGAAAGTGGCGCCTTGGTATCGTGTAACATTGGGTTACTGCTCAAGCACCTGCCAGTCTGTCTGAAGAGAAGGCGGATATAACCGCTTCTCGTCCGGAACATCAAAAACCATATGCGGATATATCCGTCACCCGTCCTTTATCGCCAAAGACTTAGGCGGATATATCCGTCACCCGTCAGCGAAGGGTTAAGAGTTAATTTGCCTTAAGGGCTAATAAACGTATGTGGGTTTTTAATTATTTAAAAATATCCGTTATTTTTATTTGCTTTTACAACTTTCATTGGGCTTTTCTTAGTCGCCGGGAATTTTGTACTTTTTAGCTGCGAAAACCGGGGAAAATGCGTGAATTTTGTTTATCGAATCTGCCAGTGGCGGATCTAGACCAGTCACAAGGGGGGGGGGGGCGAACCTGTGGGTCTGGGGGGTTCGGGGGTACCCCCCCCCCGAAAAATTAGTGTAAATTAAGTCTCCAAAATGGCAGTTTTATAGGGTACTATTTCATTGTGCAAAGTTAGTGTGACAAATTATTTTATGCAAATGAGTATGCACTACTGTATTACATGCAGTAAAATAAATATATTATGTATGCCCGAGGGGGGGGGGCGCCCTCCTCTGGATCCGCCACTGGATTCTGCTGACAACACTGTTACTGTAGACAAGTAATTCAGCACACCTAATGCGTCTTTTAAATTGTATGAAGGTCATCCACGAAGTAACTGCCGTCTGAGCGTGGCATGATAAGTAGTGGGGGTAGCACCAGAGGTGCCCATCCCCCCAAAACCTATGTCGCAGAATCCCCCAGAATTGTTAAACCCTTGCCAGGAGGTAAAATGCGAGTGCCCTAAAATTGTTTAACTGAACTGCAAAATTATTGGGCTTTCAGCTTTTGAATGGAAAAAGTACCTTGATTAAATTTGATTTATCTGCACAAAGGCAGTTTCCAATCACAGGTTAAATCCTGTCCAAAGTGACGGGGCAAGGGAAGCGACCCTGCTTAACCTCATATGCCAGGCGCTCACTTTGAGATAACAGCTCTGTTAGTTTGCTCCCATCTTAAAAAAAATTCAAACTTAAAACTGCCATAACTTTTTATAGGGATAGGATTAACTAGATACCTCTAGTTAAACCTCTAGTTTAACTTCTAGTTTGTGCCATTATTTTTCTTTTATCATGAACTTTACAACCACTATAAATAGGGGTTTACATTTGAAAATTTTGACTTACACCCAAACTACCCCTTTTGGGGGAGGGGGGTAAAAATTTTCATTCACCAAAGAATTCCTTTTTGGTCATATAAACATTCCCTCTCCTTGAATATTATAATTTTATCTCTAATAAAAAAATAATATGGGGGTGTGGGTCTTTTGAGACACTTGGTATATTTTTTATGTCATGTTGCATTAACTGAGGTTTTCAGTTATCCATCGTCTTCCCCACCCATTACCCCGGACCATCGAGGTTCTACTGTACTTGCACAATGTTTACTTACTACATACAATCTTGGGTATTAGGAGGATTACTGTATATCAAGAGGTCAACAAATACAATGTTCTGGCAATATTAGTACAAGTACTATAACCATGTTCAACAAAGATAATACATTTAATTTTTTTGTTATATTCAAGGTTAGCTGAAGCTGAGAAGCTGAAACTTCAAGGAGGAAAACTTGGCAAAATAGCAGCGGTGAACAATGCAAAGTTAAAATTACAGGTGAGCAATTAGGCAGAAGTTGTATGAGCAAAATCTAATATAGTTTTTTTCTCAATTTCAGTTTGATAGAGGTAATAGTATAAAGCTCATGTTAAAATATGGCAGGAAGAAACATATTATTTTAGAGGTTGATTTTCATAAACAATAAATTATTGATGTTCTAGTTGTCAATATAGGGATGGACAAAAATTTCAGGAAATCTTTAGGAAAATATATTCCCAATCATCAACATGAGATTAAATTTCATTCAGGAATTTCTTGGGACGGAATTTATTTCAATTGTTGACAATCAAGAACATTGTTATTGTTGTTGTAACGTATGTATACATTTATTTGAACGAATTTGCGAGACAGCATGATTGCACTATGCGAACTAGGTTTTATGGAGTCAAAATTGGTTTGTCCCCAATACAATTTTGCTGCATTTCTTTCTGAACTGTTTTGTAGAGCTTAAAAAACGAATAATTTCAGTCTAACAAAGCGTCGTTGTACATCTAATGGTTACGGAAAAACCTGTACTAGTTACTTAGTTTACTATATCTGTAACTGATTATATCTTGTATATAGACTTGTGAGAAATATCAAAACCGCTTATGTTTGTAATATTGCCTTTAGCAAGGGACAACACCCTCAGAAAAGCCGAACTCAGCTCAGCCTTCAAACTGTTATGAAATAACTCCGGCCCGAGAAGATCGACCTTTGCTGCCTCCCAAGAGTGAAAATGATTATGGAATTGATGATGCTCACAGTGGAGACTCGAGTGATGATGAAAGTCAGCCAAGAAAGATGATACCCTTATGGGCTCAGTGTAAGTAGCCTATGTATAATATTTGTAACTAATAAAAAAATGTTACATTTATTTCAATTATTAAATCAATTCATGGTTAACTTTTAGTTTACCCAATTAGCCTCATTTGCCTACATTCAATGTACTACATTCCTGCACAGTAGATTTGTTTTAACAACACAAATTTTAATTAAGAACCAACCATTCATGGATACTACTCGTGCTAATGCTTGGTTTCTAGATTTTAAGGTACTGGAACTTGTGGCTACTGGAGCTATCATACATAATATAAGTATTACTTCAACCCTCAGCTTCCAAATTTAGTTTAGAATTTTTAAAGTTGGAACCAATTTTTGATCCTGCTCTGGAATGAAAAATTACATTGAATGATCAAATTATTAATTGAATTATTGAACATTCTTTGATTGCAAGCAAAATTCCCCTAACATGGTCACCGCCATCATACTGACAAACGACCTGGCGTTCAGGGGCACTCCCATATTTCTAAGGGTATAGTGCCACCTTTTGATGTTTTTGTGTGCTGAATATGCCAGAGTAAAGTCATCGGCACAGACAAGCCTCATCGAGCGGCTGAGTTCATACAGCAGTATACATTAAATCCTAGTTAATGTTCTGGATGTAGTTAATAAAAATGAAACATTTATTATTACTGCCAAATCATAATAGGTCAGGTGCTTGGTCACCCTTTGTAGAACTAATCAAGAGATCATGCTCAAGGTGACTACTGTAGTTAAATAACATAACAACTGATTAACAGCAAGGTCACAAGAGACCTAGCCAAATACACTTTTGAAATAACCTGTTTTTTTTAAATTTGCAGCCAAGAATCGTGAACGGCTTTTAACAGTCAACAAATACATTCCCAAGAAGGCATGGGATCTTTTCATGGAATGTGATCCGTGCCCTGACATTAACAAGATATTTGCTGGCAACCCCATCAAGAGGAGGATTCGGACGTCAAGCGCGGTCTGGCGAACTCCTCCCAAGTATTCTCGTATCGCCCCCTGAGTAACCAATAAACCACGACTCATGTAACATCCTTGAAGAAAATACTTCGCACATTAAAAGTTTTGCTACTCATCTGTTTATAGTAAATCACTGATAAACAAAAGTGTATTAACAGTGTACTGTATTTTTATTTGCAACTTGTTTTATGCAATAAAGTTTTAGATGTGATAATTGAACTATTTATAAATTATTCAATGTAATAGGCGCTAGATTGTTTCTTAAAGTACCTACTGAAAAGTCGCTTAAGAAATAACTTTTAGCTGTACATCCTTAATAGAAATTGTACAGCATCGTTCATTTTTAGTAGGAATTCACTGTTTGTGATTAAGTTTATATTGCTTTACTACATACTAGATTTACTTAATGATCAAATTTTCAGATAATTCTTCTAGAAATTATTTACAAACAAGTGTTTCATTAATAAATATGTTAAAGAGAATGTTATGTAGAGTATTTTAATACCGTGGATGAATTTTATTGATACGGTTTCAATTTAATAAAGTTTACACAGTATGTTTATAATATAATCCTCTTTAATTATTATAAAAGTGCATTTATGTAAACCCTTTGTCATTATTTTAAGTTATTGTTTTTGGCCTTCCAAAACTCGTGGAATGGTAAAGCTTGCTGCAATTGTTATATTTACTAGGTGTTTGTAATTTGAAAATAAAACTTATATTATTTCTAAAAGTTTTTGATGACTTTTAGCACAATTTTATACCGATAGTTCTCAGTTTAACTAGTTGAAGTTCAGCAGAGGGCTGCCATATTAACGACCAAAATCGGGAGTGTAGCACAACGTCCAATGATATAAAATCAGTGTCACAACGTTCAAAATATAATTTTTGAGCTGTTTTACAAGGTCCAATATAAAATATTTGACTGTTGCACAACGTCCAAAAAAATACAGTAACAGCAAAAAAAAAAAATAGTCTTTCTTTTCATGGGATTGGATTCTACTCTAAAAAAACTTGGCAGTTACGCCACATCCAAAGCCGCTGCCAGTTGCACAACGTTGATAGCTCACTGCTGTTGCAAGATGTCCAGAGCTCCTGCATACACAGCAAGTAATTGGTTAAGTTAAGTTTGGTTGTAAAACAATAATCACAGTGTGCAGGTGCTCTGAACGTCATGGGACAGCGCTGAGCTATTAGACATGGTGCAACTGCTACTTTTTTAAGAGTGTAAATTGTGCTGTTTCACTACGACCAAAACTTGTAGAAAGACTATGGTTTTTTGCAGTTACTATACTTTTGGACATGGTGAGATTTGGACGGCCTATATATTTTACAGTCAAATATTTTATATTGGACGTGAGCAGCTCCAAAATTTTATTAGACGTGCAATGCATTCCCAAAATAAAACTAGAGGATATTGTAAGCAAAACATTTAATTTTAATATAGTATAAAATTATTGTTTGACAGATATATTTTATAGCTGGCAGTCATTTAGAGTTGAAGAAATGTCACATTGCAGTTACATGGTTCACAGAATATAGAGTACCTAGCCACAGGGGGTAGCGGATTTTTATCCCCCTGGGCAAACGTGACGTCACAAACCAGGGGGTAAAATTCCGGCCGCAAACTTTTGAGTTTCGCGACATCAGTTCGATGGATTAAACGCGGAATTAAAAGTATATTTTCAGGGTTGTGAATTTAATCAGAACACCAAAATTATAAAAACCTCGAGTGTTCGGGCCGGATATTTACGCCCTGACCAGATATATAAATTAGTGAGAATGGTTAATTCTCTTTATTCAGTTTTAATTTAATAGTAAACATTTTATTGTTAAGTAGCCTATCTTAATTTATTTGTAACATCAACTAATTGATTTTTTTTAAATTTAGAGATTCGAGTATCAGGATTTGATCATTGAAGCTAACTGATAGTTAATATGATCAAAATTAAACAGCGAATTCTGTTTACTTAGTTGAGATTACAAAATAAATAAATAAAGATAGGCTACTTAATAATACAATTTTTACAATTAAATAAAAATAAAAATAATAAAACCAATCATTCTTAATAATTTCTATATCCGGCCGGGGAGTAAAATCCAGGGGTAAAAATCCGGCCCGTACATCTTCAGTTGTCTAAACGCTAGTTACATGAACAGGGGGTAAAATTCCAGTTTTTATTGCTAATCTAATTAATCATGCTCTGTCTATTTTCATTAGACTTCCAAATCCGCGGGGGTAAAATTCCACCCGCAAACAAACTTTTGAGCGCTCAGGTTACTACGTCATAGTGACGTCAGCTTTGGCCAGGGGGATAAAATGCTGGCGACCCGCCACTGAAGCACCACACAATGCTAATTTAATACCTATTTCAAATGCAGTTTTTTGGTTTTTTTTATCTTGGTTAAGAAAAACAAATTACTTATTAAAATAATTACTTGCTTATGATTTCATAAATATTCAAAATTTATACTGACTTCAACTACGATTTGTAAATAAGAGATTTACTAAAAAATTTGAATCCTTTTAGTTTGGTGATGGTGATTGTTCTTTCCAAACAGTTTAAATGTTAAATTACAAGGAGAACATTCAATATAATACATTTTTAAAGACCTTTTAAAAGTAGTCTGCTCTTTTTGTCTTGATCATTAATGTGTAGCGAATTTTCTTTATTTTCATACATTTGATATTTTTCACATTTCATTCATAACAGCGAGATGGTTTTATAGCGAGGATTCATCATTCATTGGACAATTTATTGTACAGTTGAGAACTATTTTTTTGTTTGTTTGAAACTTTTTACTAATTAGTAACCTCTTTAATCTTACGACACAAGTAGATCTTTTGATTTAGGCACTCGAGGCAGTGCCTTGATTTCTACGATTGGCGTAAAGGCTAATTATACTAGTTGCTTACACTACTTTACCTATGACCGTTTACTCTTTCTCTTACTTTTTCAGGGAATTGTTGCCAACAGTACTGTCTCAAGGCACAAATAGACGTAAACATTACTCATTTTATAGCAATACTGAACATATTGAACCAGTTTTTACAGATTTACAACATTCAAATCAAAACAAACAAAATCAAAGTACCTTAAATTGTTATGATTATCCTTATTACTTAGTTAAAGTTCTTACTTTTACATCGTCTATTACACTATAATTTTTTAAAGTCGTTCATTAAACCTTCCTACAACCTAACTGATGGTTAACAAATTGTTTACAGTAAGGAAAGCGGAAGCCAAGAGATCTAAAACTGGATTTGACTATATTAGCTGATTCGTTGGCGTAAAAAAAGCATTACAATTTTACTTATTTTCTCTCTCAATCCTTGAACCCCATTGGTCTGTTACTCTACCACATAGTGCTGTAAAGTAAGTAAAAAATGTGGTAAAGTGAAGCTTTTCGATTCTAAAAACTGAATTGAAAAGGCTAGTTAAAAAAATTGTCGTAGGTAATAGTATATTACGTTACTAGTCCTGAAAATAAGTGTTTACCGGACGAGTGTGGTCGTTCCCGTGCGAGACGAAGTCGAGTACGGGATTACCATACGAGTCCGGTACACACATTTTGGACGAGTTACGTACGATAGTTTACGCCATACTACTTAATTCGTACGAATCCTTATATATTTCAACCAACTAAAGGACTAAACATCACCAGTCATGTTTTTGTTTATAACCAATCATTGCCACGCAAATACAGTATAATCAGCTGATTGGTGTCCGGTAAAACTCATTGCAGAACAGTATTACGCAATGAAACCCCATTTGAATAAGCTGGCGGCAAACAGCTGTTTTCTGGACTAAATCCTTGCGTGGGAAGTTCGTCAAAATAATGTAGTGTGGCGTAAACATATTTTCCAGTGAAGGAGGAAGGTTGATGGCATACATCAAACAGTACTTCTGCAAAATAAATAAAGTTGCAACAAATCTTATTATACCTCAGTATATACCTAATAGGTTTTAGGAAATAAAGTAGAATATTAAGATTAATTCAATTTATTATGCCAATATTCTAAACTGTGTTATTCTTAAAACTTTCACAATGTACAGATCAAAAGAATAAAATTAATTTACAATACACAATTATTCTGAAAAATTAACAAAATTGATAACAAAAATCGCTGGAAACAATAATTAATTTACAAGTTTGTAAAGTACTCGGGCACTATCCACACCGCTGGGATATATTATATATCTTACATGTTCAAAGAAGGAAATTTTGCCATACATGCTATGTTTTGATAGTAAAGGTTTCCTTAACTATATCTAACCTACAAATTGATTTACAATGCACAAAGGATCACCATGGAGTTATAATAACTACAAAATTGGAAGCAATGAAACCTAACTGTAGCAAGAAAGAAACATTTTTCAGTTATTGGTAATCAGATTACCTAACTTCATAAAAAAATTGCAAGATTTGACTAATAATACATGCAGTTTAATGTTGCTGACATTCCATACGGGGATGTTGTTCAATGGAAACTAATCAATGTTGTCCTCACTGCTAAACATCACTATAAAAAACTGTAGTTGACCTTAAACCAGAAATAAAAGCAAAGAAGTCATCAATAAAAATGATTCATTTTGCTGTTTCAAAATATTTGCATACCAGAAAATTATATTTTTAATTAGACGATTAACTAAACCAACTATGTATATGAATTATTTAGTGGTTCTAAATGAGTTGTATATACTGTATTTAATTGAAATCAACTAATGGAAGGAATGAAATGAAGTATGTATTAAGAATATTCTATAATAAGCAATATTTAAAATAATCAGAACCTTGTAAGTTTAAAAATCTGACTTGGCTGACGTAGGAACTCCCTTGGTAAAAGTAGCATTATTCCCCAAATGCAAAATTAAAATTGCCAATGAGACACTGACAAGCTTTATGTATTTTTGTTTGTTTAATTGGATAAGTTAGAAACAATGAAAAATAATTATAAATTGAGTTTAAGACCTGATATTTGAACATTTTAAAGCTGTCCTTTGTTCTGATGCACTTTCTGAGTGATCAGATATATATTTTTCGCTACACTACTGTGATACCTGTTTTTGTTATATATGTTCATTACCTATGAAAATTCATCATTACATTACGCAAACAGAATGTTTACTATGCAATAGTAAGGTAGTAGTAATTTCGGTACTATATTTTTCCTACAGTTACTATAAAGAATATAAGTAATTAGTCTTTCAAACACTAAACAACACATTTAGGTTAGGTTAAATCTAAGCATTGAACGAAAATAGAATGTTAACATGAAACAACAGGTTAATTTGTAGAATCAATACTCAAAGGCTGTGAAACCCTGCAGCAGCTGATCGTAGTCGTAGTATCTTCTAAGTGTTACCAACTTAATTTCAAGCACACACATATTATAATCAGTGCAAGGAAGCCTGCTTTGTCAGGTAACTGTAGAAAAAAATTTAGTTTTGCCTATTATATGCTTGTAGGAGAATATAAAATATTTCATCTGTTAGTTGACAATTTAAAATTTGTTTACAATTATATTTCTCAAATCAAACTAACCAACACAGTAGACTTGTCATACCATTGTAAAAAACTGAAGCCTGTTATTCATGTCTAGTACATATTGGTGACACTGGTCACTAGTATCGGTGAAAATATGCTTATAATATTTCAGGGTTAATTTAGTGATTTTTGAAAAAAAAATTACATTTATAATTGCCATATTATTTTTATGGAAAATTGTAAGGGTACATTTTGATCAAACTTAGCAAACTTATTTATTTTATACTAAGCTATTAATATTTCACCAAGAAACACTTTATTACTGTCACTGTAGCAGCAAACCTAGGTACTTGTTAAACCTAATGTTATTTAAATAGATTTATTGGAAAACAAATCAGGCAAATTGAAATTCACTTAGTCTGCAGGTGCAGAGTATTTAGCTAAATGACATTTTTAAGTACCGGTAGCTGAAATTTAACAAAGACAAGAAAAATTGTAAACAAACATTTTACAAAAAATTGCAAATAATAAACAAGAACACAATCCTATTGGCACTGGACGGAACTAATAATAAAAGTGTCTTCAGCTGATTCTTAAGGATGACCAAATCTACTACAAGGGAGTAAGTTTGATCTATGTTTTGGTTTAATCCGAGAAGTCAGTAGCTTTTTTAAGGTTCTAAACTGGACCCAGCGGTCCCTGATCATTGGACTTTAAATAAATAATCTTGGCTGTTGAAAAAGCTGATCTTAGTCAGTAACAAAGCTACACAGATCATCTCTCACTATTCTACACTCATCATTCACCACTCATATTTGGGATAAAATATGCACCTAGTTCGTCCACATCTCAATTGATAATAATGATTATAGGCCTTATATAACATGTTCACTTTGAATGCCTAAAGTATACCTCCTACTGCCTGAGTATAATGTAAACCCCGTTACAGGAGAACTCCAATCATCCAAATCAATTGGGACTGTAACACATTTGGACAAACAAAAATTTGGTTAGTTTAGTTGGATTATTACCGAAATTCAGGGCATTTCACAGAGTTTGCCGACCTTTAACTATTACGATCGCAGAACGCATCTACAAAGATTTTGTGATCAAAAGATTTTAGCTTGTGCTCCGATTGAGGATGCCAATTATGATTTTACGTGACCGCGTGAGACAAAGACCTAGAAAGATATTCAAGATTTTCCTGCAATCGCGGATAAAGATGACGTTGTCTCTATGACCGCGGGAGACGATTATGATGTCTACAAGACAGCAGAAGATGTGCAATATTTCCTGTGATCGCGGAACACGATTATGAGTTTCTATGACTGCAGGAGACGATGATACATGGCCACGGAATATATTTTATATTTTGCTGCGTTTACAGAAGACAATGATGATTTCTATAACACTGCAGAAGGTGTGCAAGATTTTGCCGATGACGATGAAAAACAACTGTGAGAAAGGGATTTTGCCACAATAACTTTTTATGTTTTGTTTTTTTTTTTAATTCTTTCTACAAGCGATTTGGATTATCGGTGATTCAGATAGTTTCAGTTTAACGGCAAGTAAAAATTGACACACAATAGTAAGTCAGTCAGGTGTTAAGGACCACCTGACCACTTTTAAAGTTTATAATGTCTTCTCTAATAATAAAATTAACTTTGCTATATAGCTATATACCAGTGGGTTGTTCAGCTGTCAATAATAATTTATAGAACAAAAATAGACAGCAACACTTGTGGTATTACCCATAGAAAAAAATAAACTTTCTAACTGTTGGTTGCTTAACCGATAGATCAAACTATCACAACCACTCAACAGAATGAATTAATAATCACACTATGTCCCTCCCTGCCAACAAAAAAATAGTTAATTAATATTACAAATAAAATATAATTAGTACTTTCTCTCTGAGCTACAGTATCTTAAACAAAAGAAGTAAAGAGGTGGATTTCAGATGAAAATTTCATTTGAAATAAATAAAAAATGGAATACATATGTAATTTGATTACTAAAGTCAACATATTTTATTTGTTTAACAAATAAATAACAATAAAACATGCACACCCAAACTCACAACTAAAAAGAAAAAAAAAATAATCTTCAAATCCACCAGGATCAGGATCTTTCATGAAACAAAATATTGTTAACTTGATTTTGTGATGCTTAAACTACTAACTAAAGAAAGACAATATTTAGGGAAACGTAATTTAAAGAATAGTTGATCTTTGAATGAAATGGGTTATTTAAAAGCCTCCGCCATGATATCTACAACTTATTTTGATAAAATCTTCACAAATTTTATAGTTGAACCTAACTCCATGATAGAAATACAATTTATGGCACTTGCGTAGCCCTTGTTAGTAGATAGGCCCTCAATAGAAAAAGGTTTGTTGGCACACCGATTTCAGAAATGTTTGTGCCAGTACATCGAAATACATATAATACAAGTTTAATACAATCTAAATATACACATACAAACACAACTTAACATTTTAATTAAATATGACGGTACGAGATTATCGTATTTACATAAACGCCGCAGTGGATAATGATCATTTAGTATAACAAGGGTCATGCCATTCTGACATTCAAGAGTCAACCCTCTGTATAAATCTATACGATAAAAAAATACAAAGGTGACAAATGAGGATTCGGGGATTATTGATCTACTACAATGTTGTGCTTTGTATCCACTTTGTGGCATCAGAAATGTACAATAGTATAAATAAAAGGGGTGAGTGGTGAGAGAGTCTAGTTGACCATGAGTGTGTGAGACTCCATGGGAGCAGCAGAGTCATACAGTGTGTCTGTGTCCTGTGTAGGCTCTCCTTGCAACTGACACTGGTTACTGAGGGTCCCGGCTCCACAGTCACAGAAGAATCTGTCAACACACCCAGATACATTTAGATCATGTGTCTTCCTCAATGCACTGCAATAGCAACAGTCAAGAATACAGTAGAACCTCGATAAAAAGTCACCCTTATACAAAAAACGCATAGAAAATCAACGCAACACCCGCAATACAGGAGCGTGTTGTTTAATTCCTTTTGCGAAGGCGTTCTTATTTAATGAATTATTTGTATGTAAATATTGCTTTAATTGTTTAATTTTTGTTTTGTTTTGGCATTGCAAATGATGAGAAGTTTTGTTAAGAGTAAGCAGTGTGAGTAACATGTTTTACTACTGTAAACATAGCCAAAACAAGTCACTCCAAGATCATTCTAAAAAATAACACAAGTTTGAAAAATTGTTTCTTCCTACTAATAAGACTGATGTTTTAGACTGGTAAATTTGGTATTTTTGTAGGTCTGAAGCTATGTAGGGCATATACCTTGTAGTTTTTAGGTCTGAAGCTATGTAGGGCCTATACCTTGCAGTTTATAGGTCTGAAGCTATGTAGGGCCTATACCTTGCAGTTTATAGGTCTGAAGCTATGTAGGGCCTATACCTTGCAGTTTATAGGTCTGAAGCTATGTAGGGCCTATACCTTGTAGTTTACAGGTCTGAAGCTATGTAGGGCCTATACCTTGCAGTTTATAGGTCTGAAGCTATGTAGGGCCTATACCTTGCAGTTTATAGGTCTGAAGCTATGTAGGGCCTATACCTTGCAGTTTATAGGTCTGAAGCTATGTAGGGCCTATACCTTGTAGTTTATAGGTCTGATACTATCCTCTCTTTTTAATGTAAACCAATTGCAAGTTTCAGTATAAATCTTACAAATAAATGTTTTTATTTGTTTACACCAAACAAAACATGACTTTATATGTAAAATCAATATTATAAAATAGGTAACATGCTTAACAATATGATTATATGAACAAAAATGATGAAATAGGCAATTAAAGCAGCTCACTGACATTACCAGCAATACAGGTTCTTCTAAAATATGATAAAAATAAATATTTTTTCACCTAAAATTCATGTCATAATATGTATTGAATAGCCCTAATACCACATCAACAACAATTTGCATTACACAAATGCAGGTAAATTTTAATTATGGTCATTTCACTCAATTGACAAGTATGAATAGAAAAATTCTATACTGCTTAGAATCGAGTTGCATCGATTCAAATCAAAAATCTATTGAATCAAATTGTTGCTTCGAATTGCAAATTTTTACACCTCTATTAGTATTCTTGTATACTAGCTGTGTGATATTAATAATGATTGTCAACTGTAAACCAGAAATAAGAAAAGAACTGAAAAAGTAATTCATTAAAAATTTTACTAACGGTTTATTATAACAGTGTCCAAAAGTAATATTGTGTGCATGTGTTTATTACCTGTCGTGCCTGATGAACTCTACATCATGTCCCGCGTGGCAAGTTTTGATGCAGTTTACACAGATGGCATTGCGGTCTGTAGTATTGCAGGTCTGGCAGCGGTAGAAGTCGTGCATAGGAAATGAAGTGTAACTTGATATTTTGTACAAACATTGGCCATTTCTGACAGCTTTTTCCACAGCATCTTGATTACTAAATATTTTGTTAACTGAAACATTTTAAAAAGGTGTTATTTTTTCAGTTTTTATATCCCTTAAGATATAAATACAAACTATCAAATAACAGTTCTGATAATTGAAACCCAGATAAAAAATTCACCTACCATTTGAATGTCAATATCCAAAAGTCGTATAAACTAGTTTGGCTCATAGATAAACCTTAGCATCATACTAAATACCCCCGCCGCAGCAAACCTGCAGACTAAGCGAATTTCCATTTGACTGATTGGATTTACACTGAAATGTCTACTTAAAAATATAACATTTATTCCCGATTTAAATAGAATTAGTTTAACAAGTACTTAGGTTTGCTGCATCAGGGAGGGTAAAACTGTTTTTTTTTTTGTAAAATGTTAATAGTTAGTAAGAAATAAAAACATTTTCCAAATTTGATCAAAATATGTTCATAAACAAGCAAACTACAACAGTTTACTCATTCTCCATAAGAATAACATGGGAATTTTAAATTTACAATTTTTTGGAATTTTCTCCGTAACCATTAGGCGCATAATAACGCTTCAATATACTAAATTATTTGTTTTTTGAAGCTCTACAAAATGGTTTGGAAATAAATTGCTAAATTTTATGTTTTTTGGGTCAAAAATGGGAAAAACCTATTTTTACCCCATAAAACCCCCCGTAAACCCCCGTTCCCATGGTCCGATCATGCTGGATCGCGAACTCGTTCGAATAAACGTAGGTTTACTCGTTTGTACCAAATTTCATCAAAATCGGATCATTTTTGCTCGAGTTATCGTGCTGACGGACACATATATATATATATATATAAATATATATATATATATATATATATGAATTTGAACGGATGGTGTTTTTGGCCTCTAGGGACCTCAAAACAAAAAAAAAAAATCGGTCCCGCGTCCAGGTCTTACCATGAGTACTACGGTAATAGCTTATTCCCTATATGGGAAATTCGCTAAAAAGAAGGTAGTTTAAAAAATTATTACAAGGATAACCAAAGAGTCCTTACTGAAGGAGTTCTAATTGAGATAATAAAACCTTAAAATTTCAAACCAAAGAAATGCCAACAAATTGTGAGGCTTTACTGTGAGTTGTTAATTAATCATACAGAACCTAATAGTTAAGAGTTCATTAGAAAAGGAATTATAGTTCTATATAGGTTCTCTATCGATAAGTTATTAATTACACAGAATGCGACAAAAAAACCTATCTACTTGATAACAAACGCTTGTATCAGGTATAGGCCGGGATGAAATTTGTTTTAACAAAAGTGCTATAAACCCCTCAGACAACTTTATTCTTTTAGCAAAAATAATATTCTTTAAGCATTTTTAAAACTTTTTCACACCAAAATGAAAAAGTTAATCGGTCCCGTGTCTAGGTCTTACCATGAGACCTACATTAATAGCTTCCCCTATATTAAGGGAAGTTCACTTTGGCAAACAATAACATAATATTACGTACCAGAGACTATTGTGAACAGCACTAAACATTGGGACTTTCTTGAAGTGGCCGAATATATTGAAGCTCATTAGATTTTATTTGTAATATTTGTTCAACATGGCACCAATATTTGTACACAATTTGAATCCATTTTTCAGTGCAATAGGTTACTAATAACATGTAAAACTGTGATACGTTTATTACCTAACAAAGGTTTATACTTATCGGATATTTCACACCACTTACGTCTTGTGATGGGCTGCACACCACTTGCTAGACAAAGCCCTCCGAAACGGTTGTTGAATATCTGATTATCTTCAAGCGTTGCTGTTGCATTATTTGTGATTTCAACTCCAGCAGCTAATCCATCAAATATACGATTTCTTCTCAAAATGGGATGGCTTTGAGTGGAAATAAGAACACCAGCTTGAGCATTACGGAAAATATCGTTTTCTTCCAGGACTCCTGTAATGAATAATGATTTTATCAATAACAATTCATAGCTAATGTTAAGAATGAAGCAGTAGGGTTTTTATCATCTTAGTACTTTTTAATTTCTATATCTACACTTGTCTGGATTATACACATCATTATAATTTTGAATTACCCCAGGTGCTTGAAGTAGAGGTAATGTTTAAACATTCATTTGGCAATGTTGGTTTTGTTTTTATTTGGACAGTTTTAGATTAACTATAGAGAAGTAAGATACAGAGGATACAGGCTTATGGGACAACCGTGAGCTTTCGGCTATGGTATGTTTGGGCGGAAATATAGGCTACTTGTTACGGAGCAAGGTAGAACCTGAACGGCGAGTTTCGCCTGTGCGGTAATTTCTATCACACAGCTGGTCTTTCTCCACCACGAGCATTAAAGTACATGATGGTGGAAGGTGAGGAGGGGGGGAGGGCAGAGGGGGAGTCATTGCTTTAGACACTAGTACTTACTTACTCTTACTCCCAGGGCCATGCATATCTAAGAAGATATTTGGCCGCACCAACAAAGCCTCTCCATCTTGCTCTATCCTCTGCATCCTCCTCAGTTGCTCCTAGTTGCTCCATGTCTTTCTTTACTTGGCTCCACCATTTTTGTTTTGGCCTTCCTCTCGGTCGTCTTCCTTCGGGATTTCTTAGTAAAACTAATTTTAACTTATTTTGCTCCTCTCTTCGTAAAACATGTCCAGCCCATCTAACTCTTCTACACTTAAATTCACACACCACATCTGGATCTCTGTAGAGTTCTCTCAGTTCTCTGTTGTGTCTCTTCCTCCATTCACCACCTTCATAAATTGGTCCATAAATTTTTCTTAAAATCTTATTTTCGAATGTGATTAACTTCTTTTCTTCTTTTTTATTTGGTTTCCATGTTTCAGCTCCGTATAATAATACTGGGCTGATTATTGTCTTATAAATTCTAACTTTGGTGTTTTTTGACAGTAACTTAGAGGACATCAGTCTGTTGCAAGCGTAGAAACATCTGTTTGCCAGATTTAGTCTATTTTGAATTTCTATTTCTTCTTTGTTTTCCCTGGATAAGATAACCCCTAAGTACTTAAAATGTTCTACTTTTTCAAATGTATGGTCATCTACCTGCAGTGGGTCTTGGGCTATACCTTGATTTCTTGAAAATTGCATATATTTGGTTTTCCCATCATTTACTTTTAATCCTAATTGTCCTGTTTTGTCCATAAATATTTTTGTTAGTTGGCGTAGGTCCTCTAAAGTTTCTGCAAAAATGACGACATCGTCTGCAAACGCTAATATGTTAATTCTGGAGCCAATTGAAATTCCCTTATCTATTGTTGTCACTTCTTGTAGAGCTTCTTCTATTGCTAAGTTGAAGAGGATTGGGGAGAGCCCATCCCCTTGCCTTACCCCTGCATTTACTGTAAAGGGCTCCGAGACTCTCCCGTTTACTTTTACTGAACATGTGGAATTTGCTACAGTTGTTCTAGCAAGGTTTATAAGTTTGGTTGGGATTCCAAATTTGTCCATCTTTTTCCACAGTTTCTCTCTATTTATGCTATCATACGCTTTTTGGAAATCAATAAATATTGCAAAAAACTCCCTATTATACTCCCAGTACTTCGATATGACTTCTTTAAGGATAAATATTTGATTCATTGTGGACCTGCCTTTCATGAAACCAGCCTGATGATCTAGGACATCAGTACTAGCTCTATAAATTACTTAAGTGTATCATCATTGACTATTAGATACTGTGAAGTAGACTTCCCATCTATATGGACCAGCTGTAGCCAATTTTTTTAAAAACAAGAATGTAGTTTTTTTTTTGGACCCCACAATAGATGCCCTGGAATCGTTATCATGGAGAAGACTAGGTTTTATAGAAGGGATCATACTCAGCATGGACTTCACTTTAATTACAACGGGAAGCGTAAACTTAGTAATGCCCTAACCAGTTCCATACTTAGGCACAATAGAGAGCGCAGTTCATGCTCCAAACTGGTGAACTTTGTTCCGTCCTTCACCTGCCCAGGTACATCAGACTCTCCTGGTATTGAGCCAGCCACATTGCAATTTAATGGCAATATACAAGACACAAATGCCTTCCCTTTGCTGCCTTCTTCTTCAACTTCATTAAAGACAGTCAACCCAAATGCTAAACCACCAAATGCTAAAATCTCAGTTCTTCAGAAAGATATGAGACTTGTGTTTGATCAAATACAAAATGACACCTCTGTAGCACTGGCTCATACAATTTCTGCTGATTTTAACAACCCCCGACACATGTCAGCGGGAGTGGCAGTGGCTTTCAGGGAACGATACGGCAGACCTCAGATCTCTGACTGTGTCACAAAAAATCTAGCTCTCCAGAAGGTGGAAAATGGCCCGTTAGTGTACAGTTTGGTAACTAAAGACTCCTACTGTGGAAAACCAAGAAATCAGGACTATGATGCAGCCTTCAGTGACCTGGAACTAGATTTCAAAAGAAAAGGTTTAAAAAAGTTATTTTGCTCTGCAATGGGTTGCGTTAGGGATATGATTGAGCCTCGTCACTTCATTAAAAACCTAGTAAGATTTCATTTTGCTACTGGTGCTGAGGTCTGCATAGTTTCTTATGACCAAAAAGCACAAAGAACTCTTTGGAGGGGGCGGTCACATGAAGCGTTTGTCACAGCATTACATAATGAAATCTCAAATCAAATTGTGAAAACTCAACTTACAGATTATTTGGAACAAAATAATTTACTAAATCCATCTCAGTTTGGTTTCCGCTCAAAATCCAGTACTGAAAAGGCTATTACCAGGATGATTAACTGCATTGCAGAGGCCTTGGACGGGTCGCAGCGCACAATAGGTGTGCTGTGTGACCTGTCCAAGGCTTTTGACTGTGTTGATCATGATATATTGCTAGAAAAATTAAGTAGACATGGAATAAAAAATGTGGAATTAAAATGGTTCATTTCATATTTAAAAAGCCGTAAACAAAGAATTATATTACAGAAATGCCAAACCAAATATAAGTCAGAGTGGGGTTACACACCCTACGGAGTTCCTCAAGGTTCCATTCTTGGACCTTGTTTATTTTTAATTTATGTAAATGATTTATGTAATGTTACAAAAATGCATACTTTTCAATATGCAGATGATACTGCTTTAATCTGCACCGAACAAAAAACATTGGATTTTAAGCAAGACTTAATTACTAATGAGTTTCAAATCCTCGGGGACTGGTTCACAGTAAATGGTCTATCTATGAATGTGTCAAAGACACAACTAATTCACTTTTCAGTTGCTAATGAGAATAGAGACATTGTTGTAAATTCAAACCAAACATCAATATATTCTCAAAACTCAGTTAATTACCTTGGAATTGATATAGATTGGCAACTTAATTGGCAAACAAACATTAAGAATCTATCTAAGAGACTCAGATCAGCTATACTTGTTCTTCGGGTAATTCGACATACTACAAATTTAGACACACAATTAGCAGTATACCACGCTTATTTTTCTTCCATTATGAATTACGGTTTAACGGTATGGGGTTCTTCTAGTCATGCCGAACAAATTTTTATCCTCCAAAAAAGAGCAGTTAGAGTCTTAGCGAAAGTGTCTCGAATTACTCACAGTAAAGAGTTTTTCATTCAGTTTAAAATTCTTACTTTGTATAGTTCTTATATCTTTAAACTAGCTTTAATGGTTAAAAGTGATTTTGACACATTCATGGAAGATCAACATGCCCATCCTCACAACACTAGATTTAAAAACAATATAAAACCAGTTCAACACAGACTTAAAGTATTCCATTTATCTCCTCAGTATATGGGCCCAAAAATATATAACAAATTACCTTCTTCAATTAGGGACACTGATTCATTCCCTAAATTCAAAAAGAAGTTAAAAAACTTTCTTTTGGAGAAGGCCTTCTTCTCATTGGAGGAATATATGGAAGCTATGTAGATGTTAAGGCTCAGCAATGAAATTTATTTTAGTAATAATTTTAGTATAATAGAGACTATAAAATATTGTAACAATGACGAATCACCTGTCTGAATATGATGTTATGTGATTATTGGAAAATAAATAAATAAATAAATAGTTGTGTGAGCCAGTCACAGAATGCGCTAGTGTCAAAAATTCTATTTTACACCTTTTTTTGTTGTTGCTGACTAGGTTGATGGGTCATTTGGTATAAATGATTGTGTATTTGACAGAATTTAGTCATTTAGATCAGCGCCATCTGTAGGTAGCTTACATCAACAACGAAGAATTCGATAAAAAATCTGGCTATAAATTTAACATAAGGATGGAATGACTAGTTGTATTGATAGTCAAAGGTATCATTAAATGTTTCCTCTGTATCTTACTCCTCTGTGGATAAACACAGATTTTTTGAGTAAACAAGTTTTTTTTTGTGGGTAAACAATTCTCAACAGACACCTCTATCCGAGATTCCAATTTATACATTTAAAATTGATTTAAACTCATTAAAAAATCAGTACATTTTGCAGACTTGAATGAGGTTTGAATTTCACAAAATATATTTTGTTATTATTATTCATCAAGTAAGCCTCAAGCTATGATTGAGGATATTTATGATGATCTATTAATATTTTTATTTGAGGTAAATTAAATATTGATACATAATAATTTTAGTATACTTCTTGGTTAGAAGAAAAGAAAACAAATATTAGGTCCTTCAGATGTTGGCAAATTTACCTTAATTGAAAAAAAATATATAATACAGACTAATATTTATACCCGGAGAAAAGCAACTAATATAGGCGTAAATTAAAAAAATTAACTCACCCTTTCCTCCATTAAAAATACAGATTCCACCATCTCGCCCATCAAATATCTTATTTCTCTTGAGCGTTGGGTTTGAGTCAGTCTTTATCCAGACTCCTGCCATGGCATTGTCAAATATCTCGTTCTGTTCCAACAAGCCCAGTCCTCCATTGTAGACCAGCACTCCACCATTCTGTCCTCCCCATATCTTGTTGCCTCTGATGATTGGATTGCTTCCAGTTCTAAAAAAACAACAACTGTTGGATTAATTTGTTTATTCCTGTGTTTTAAAAAGGTCGTACTTGTAAAGAAAAACTAATACAATTTATTCAGACATGTAACTTAGTTCATGTTACAAAAAAATATTGCCAAATCTAAAATTTGTTTGCTCTAATGCTTCTAGTATTTACATTTACTGGTATAATTCTTTTTATTTGAATGGAACCTGCAAATTTATCTGAACACTTAAGAAAACATAAATAAATGGTGACTCACCTAATTTGGACACCTGAATATAGGTGGTTGAATATGTCATTGTCCTCCAACTTCCCATGGCCATTGTCATAGAAGTACACACCAACTTGTTTACCAGAATGTATTCGATTCCGCCTAAGCACTGGTGTTGACCCTGTTGTGATCCATACTCCAGCCAAAGTGTTTGCGTAGACTTCATTTTCTTCTATCAACCCTTGCCCCTTTTCATGCACATAGATCCCCCCATGTTGTCCGTGATGAATTTTATTGTGCCTAACAATCGGATCACTATTGGTGCGAATTTGAATACCAGCTAACGCATTACCTGACCAAACAGAATTCAAATATTAACATTTAATAAGGATCATTATGAAATTAAATACATAATTAATACGATAATTAAAACATGTCTACTTAAAATAGTCTTAAGTAAGTTAACGTTTTCTTTAATTTTCACATTCATATATATCTTTGAGTAGATAATGTATTCTGAGCCCACAATGAAGTGTTGAGTACATCAACGATTCAAATTGTCTACAAGAAACACTAAGCACACTGACTAGAGATTATCCTTGAAGAAACTCTATTTCTTGTAAGGATTATTATGTACAAGGATAGGGATCAGCTAGCTTACCTGGTAGATAGAGTCCAGATTAGCCTTGATTACACATAAAACACCAGGTATTGTACATAATAATCCTAATCAGCCAATTGGCCTTTCCTTAACTCCTAATCTATTTCTTGTAAGATAGTTCAATTTTATTTTATTTTTATCACTTCATATAGGCTATCAAAGCTTTTGACTTACCATATATATTATTGTGTTCAACTAGTCCTCTTCCTTCACCAAATATGTACACACCACCTTGATGGCCGTTGTATATTTCATTGCGTCGGATAGTGGGATTACTGTTTGAAGTGATCCACACACCAGCAAAGTTGTTTGAATGGATGCGGTTGTCAATGAACTGCCCGAGACCGTTTTCATGCACATATATACCACCTGTTTGTCCATGATGAATCTCACAATGAACCACTGTTGGATTTGCTTGAGCCTTCACTTCAAACCCTGCTATCCTGTTGTTGTGGATATCATTTGCTTCAAAAAACCCCTAGAAGGAAAATTGAATTTGGTCAATAACAATAACAAAATTACAATAGTAGATAACAGACAGGACCAAACTGAGAATTTGAAATACAAAACAGACGGTTGAATAAAACAAACTGTAAAAGTTTATGAGCCTGCAATTAGTTAAAAGCTAAAAAATGTTATCTTGCATAACAATACCACTATTATGTAAGGTACTACTATAATTCACCCAGCAATTCTATGTAGCTCTTAAAAAAATTTAGGATTTGAAAACAAGGAATTAGTTTTTTGTAGAAAAGCGGAGAAGTTGGGTTACTTCAAGCTGATCAAGAAGTTATTTACTAAGTACTGTCACGGGTACAAAACTAATGGCGATGGCATTATGTTAGTAATTCATCTAAAAGTTAGAAACTCAAACTAAGATGTTCCAACTATCAAATTTAAGGAAATCATTCCCTCGTCTCGTAAAAAGTACCTGAATAGTTTGTTTCCCTGAGGTTTTGTTTGACATATCTGTGAGATTTAGATTTCCTATTTAATAACTTAACAACTACAGTAGAACCTTGATTAACCGGGGCGAATCAACCGGTCGGCGGATCAGCTGTGGTCAATAGATATGCCTCTTAATGTTACATAACCTCAAAAATACCAAGAACATTTTATAAATTGTGTTTCTTCAGTCTAATATGTTGAAATGCACTGTATATGGCAGTAGGTTTCACCATTATTGTTGTTGAAATATTGTTTTGTTCATTTGACAAAACTAAATGGAAGCAAAACAATGAAATGACCATCGAGAGCTTCAAGGTCAAGAAGAAAGAATAATGTTTATACTATAAATAAAAAGTAACTTACCAAACCATTGTCAAATGTGAATATACCAACATCCCTTCCATGATGTATGTGATTGCGCCTCATAATAGGGTTCGCATAATTTTTAACCCAAATACCAGCAAGAGCATTTCTTGATATTTCATTGTCTTCGTAGGTTCCTTGAGCATAATCAGTCACATATAGTCCAACGTTTTCACAGTCACTGATATCACAATGCTTGATGGTGGGTGAAGCTCCGGTGCCAGTCACACACACAGCCGCTCCCACTGGTAAATACACAAATAATTAGGCACAAAAAACAACAGTGTGTGTGTGTGTACATCTAGCTTCACTAGAAATAACTAGGTATGGAAGAGTTAAACGAGTGTATCTCCATTCTGATTATTTAACAACAATTTTAAATGACTGTCCTTTTGTAGAGGGTTCAAGTTATTTTTTTTAGATCTTTAGGATAATAATTAAACTTATCAGTTCGTATAAAAAAAATTGAGATCAATTTGTTAGTTTAAAAAATTATTTTATCTATTTAATACAAAAACATTTATATACAGTGGAGCATTTTTTACATGTAAAGATTTTTCTATTTAATTGTACTTGTAATTTTTAAATTTGAGATGTTATTATATTGATTGGATGTTAATATTCATTTGCTGTATTAATAAAAGCATAATGTATTTAATGAAAATTGTTAATGCATTGTAAAACATTTATTCAAGCACTGTCTATCTAACAACAATGATGATTCAAAATTAATTTAGTTTAGAAGGATTGATTAAGGAAATAATCTAATATGTAATACCTTTTTTACCCATCTTAAAAACAGCTGCTAAACATTTCACCAACACAAAGGGTAGAAAACTAGGAGAGGAAAAATAGAGAAGGATGCAGGCACACAGGAAACTGTAGGGGAAATAAATCATGTTTACATTACGGTACCTATGTTAAAGGTGCATAGAAGGAATCTGTCTTAAATTAACAAGTTTGTTAGGTAAGAAAATCATGTTGCAGATAAACAATACTTATGTACAAAAATTATACAGACAAAACAAACTTATATGTCATTGGCACATTGCAAATAAAAAATAAAAAAAATAAAAGAATATTTGAGTAATGAGAATTGATATGAGTAAATAGACTAATTATTAACCGTTATTCTCATTGTAAATTTCTAGTAAGAATATTTTGGCTTAGGATGAAATTCAACGTAAACAAAGCACAATGTGGCAAAAAGCTGATTCGCAAGTGTGTACTTGAAAATGAAAATTTTCAGACAAAGTTAGCGCCACATTAACCCATGGAAAAATTAAACATAAGGTATGGCTATCAAGGGTTTTATTGACTAGAGGGAGATTATTCTAAAACTTTAGTCCAGTTGGATTAGATAATGAGCGGAAGTGCAACCAAAGGCAGTTGAGAGGAATTCAACTCTATAGGAAACATGTTATGGGACTTTATGAAAACATTTTCTAACATTATTTAAAGGAATTATTGATGAAAAATGTTTCTTTAGCTAGAAGGCAATAAAACTTACCAACAGACGAACTACGGATAATACAGTGATCAATTGTGGGACTACAATTTTCACCAACTTCTAGACAATAGTGTTTGTTATGAGGTACAGTTGATGTTACGTCTGGAGAGAATTTCAATGTCAGGTGTCCAGCGTACGCATTCTTTGCACCCTCAACAAACATCATGGTTGACTCGGATTCTCTTTCTAGAATAACCGATTCTGCTACATTACCAGGCGCAGCACCTAGAATAAAACAAATAAATTCATGCAATTCTCAAAATCATAAGACAGGTAGGCCTACATCAAACATTGTGGTGGCCTACCTTGGTTATTTGAGAATAAAAAAAACACAATATGCAATCATAGATTTTATAAATATAGCTTTTACGTCTATATAGTGAAACAAGAACGATAATTTAAATTATTCATTGTTTCTAGAAATAACAATTCATTAATAGCTTAACTTAAATCAATTATTTTATTTTATCTTAAGATCACCTTAATTCAAAACTGGTGTATTAAAAAATTAAACACTTTATCACAACATTTAAGTTTAAAACATTTCAAACCCATTCAAAAAGATTATTGCTACAAAGATTTCTCCTAACACAATAAAACACATATAGGCCAAATAAATAATAATACAAGTTTGTAACAATAGTTAATGGCAAATAAACATTCACATTCTCAAAATAAAAAGGAAAATTATCATTTAGGCCTATGTAGCTTTTACAGTAAAAATTGCTGGAGTAAAACAGAAAACTTAATGTTAAAAAAAGTTGACAGGGTCATCCATTAAGTCTATTTAAAAAATCAACCAAGCTACTTAACATTTCAATCCAATCTTTTAATTGTTGTGGATTTACTATAGCCTATTATATAAATAAAAGAATAAAATCAAATAAGGAAAATAATGAAACAGGTAGAAACCTGGTACCTTATATATGTAGGCCTAATAGATTTCTTCAACCAAACTTACCAATGATTGCAACATCTGAGTCTATGACGAGGAATTCTCCTCGGTAAGTTCCAGCGTGGAGGAAGATGAGTGATCCACCAGTAAAGTCGTCCACGTGGTCTAGTGCTGCCTGCACAGTGTCAAAGTGAGCGATGCGACGGCCCTGACGCGCCACTCCCTGGTAGCCTGGGCGGACATGCACTCCACGGTACAGGTGGCGGAAACTCTCCTTCCACGGGTTGGCATGCTCACTCTCCTCTGGCGGAACAAACTCAAACCGACACTGCGCTGGGTTGAACAACGGCAAGTCATACTCGTATACGTTGTGGAACAATGTTTTCCTGAAATACGGAAATGGTTAAGATGTAGGTTTGTACCAGTTTTGCAACATCGTGCTCAAGTGAAATAATGCATTATGACAATATACATTTTGAATTTATGCAATACTCTTGACTACCAGTAGATTGTTCAAGATAAGTGTTTGCACAGGGTGGTTTGTAGTGAGAATGGTGGCTCTCACCATGTTATAGCTGATGCTATCCGTCAAGTCTTTGCACTGTTCCACTTCACTTTTTTCCGATTATTAAACTACGCTTTAAATAACATCCACAGCAAAATTCAATGAGACATTAGAATGGAAGGTTTCAACATTCTTCACAGAGCGTTTACTTGAAGCGAAAACATATTTTTATGATCAAGCTTGAGTGTGCTTTTACACTGTTTAAATGTCCTTCTTACTGGTAGCCTAAATCGACCTTTTCAATATCCAGCGCATCCAACTTGAGTACAAAAACCTAGTGGAGTGGACAAAACATGACAAAAATGACTTGATAGTTAAGTACATTAAGTCCCGCAAGCAGTGTTTTCATTCGCGGGATTATTATCCCGAAAACGGGATTTTTAGACCTTGAGCCGGATTAAAACGGGATGCGGGATAAAACGGGATTTTAGGCTGTGACGACTATTATTATGTTTTTCTACTTAATTTTAAAGAAAATACTAACTCAAATTGATTAAATACTGTAGCAAAATATAATAGTGATGTTTAAACAACTTTATAAACATGATACGTCAAGTATAATACTAGGTATTGTACAAAAGAAATCATGCGGGATAAAACAGGATTTTTCACAATTTAAAAGCGGGATAAAACGGGGATTTTTCGACCCAGTAAGCGGGATTATTTTTTTGGTCATGTGGAAACACTGCCCGCAAGGGTTTAATATGTTCTGAAAGACAGCAGATAAATCAATGACATTTGGTACATCAACACGACACCTAAAATTCTACTTTTTGAAGGAACTATCAGTTCTCTGTCATATCATGAGGACATCCCACAAGGAGTCAGAAGGAAATCCTAAATGTAAGCATAGGTTGACATACATCAAATTAAATCTCTAGGCCTATAAGTAGGACACAATGCCGCTAATTTAGAAAAAAGGGCAGCTGTTCAAAGATTTTTTGAATCTGCCATTTTGAATCTTTGAAAGACTACCATTTTTCACTCAGTTGTTATTTTGAGCTAAAATTTGCGGCATTGCATTCTAAACCTTAATTGGCCTTTAATTTAATGTGCAGATTGACCTATGAATATGTTTATGATTCTTTTCCAACTTCCAACGGGCCTAAGGAGGTAGCGCAAGTAGCATGGCAAATTCAAGGAATCTTTGAACAGCAGTAATTTTTTACTCGGTTTTCCGTGTGAGTCAGGGTCTGCGGCATTGTACATTACTAACAAAGACCTTTAATTTAATGTGCCAACAACACAATTCTTCCATTTAAGAGTTATTTCAGACTCCTTGTGGGACACCAGGGTCCATGATATGACAGAAAACATTTTAAGGTGTTGTGTTGATGTACCAAATCTTACTGATTTATCTGTTATCTTCTGGACATATAAAAACCATGCGGGACTGTATTTACACCATGTATTTTCGTACTTCTAATAGGTTGCAAGATCCTTTTTAAAATACAACATTTCATGGATTTATTTTAGAACCGATTGCCAAGGTCTTACCATAATTCATTGTCATTGGCAATGCCATGGAAGCGTTTGCAGACCTGACTGACTCTACACAAGTCCTGCTCCAGGAGGTAGCTGAAGATAGTGAGCAACACCTCATCTGGGAGCTCGTACTGCAGGTAGTGGGCGGCCGGCGTCCCACACCCTGACACTGCTGCAGAACAGATACACAACATATGTAAGAAACCTGCAGTTTATTTAACAATATCAGTTACACAACATTAAAAACCCTGCATTCTTATATATAAATTATGCTTACATAAACGGCTATATTTTTTTTTTACAAAAATGATTGCTTAAACATATGCAGACAGTTAGTCTACATATTCTAGTGAATAAACAGAACAAGTTTCAAGCATGGCATTACATTACTCAGAGAAACCATTAAACGGATAGGAATTTAATGTAGATGTGTTGATACCAACATTTATCTATTCTCAATGCAGATACATTAAAAATTAATTCTCAATACCAATACTTTTTTAGCAATACATTTTCTATAATAACAAAAAATCTCTATTAAACTCTGGTAATTAAACATAAACAAATCATGTGTCTCTTAGTACTGTTATATTAAAGGAACTAACTTTCAGTAGATGATGATGTGGTGCGACGGGGACGTTTCCTGGCAGGTAACATCGTGTATGTGTGATTGAAGGGTTGGGGAGGAGAACTGGTGCTGGGAGTGTTGCTGTCATGGTAAGGTGGAGACTTGCGGCGGAGGTCATAGGGGGGGTGGTGACAAGGGGGAGGAGCCGAGGGAGATGCTGACGTTCCGCTGGTACTGGCACTGGCACTGGCACTGGCTGTGTGTGCATGCATAATCTCATTGGCGTTGGGCATCGGAGGGCAAGGCGGCTCACATGGTTCTACTGCAACACCCAACATCAACACTCTTATTACATTTCATATTGATTCCAACATAGATTGGACATATTTCCTTGCAATTTTATCACCCTTAAGGATCAACTGAAGAAAATGCCTAGATATATTTTATGCCTAGTGTATATAGTACTATAAACAAAAAATTTCTAATATTTGAGCCTTAAGTTATTGCTGTCTTGTAAGAAATAGGCCTATATTTAGCGGATATCAATACAATCTCAGTACTAACTTTACCATCTGTACTTGTAATGTACTGGCTCACTCCTTGCTTTGCTTTATACGATCCATGCACGGGAGGTTAGTCTATGTGGACGGGCAAATGCAAGGTTAAAAGAGGCCGCCAACCTCTTTTTGAAAAAAAATCTACCACAATCAAAACATACTTATTAATTTGTTATAATAGGATGTCTTCAAAATCCCCATTGCTATGTTAATCTTATGGAGAAATACAAAACTTTATAGGGCCCCAGGGCCTCACTCTCTAACTATTTCCCTAAAAAGCAAGTTTCCTGCACAACTTCACGTTACGCTCTTTCCAATGACACCAAAACCATGTCAATCGGTTCAGTAGTTTCGGAGGAGTAATTGTCACAAAAAACCTGCTTGCGTATTAAATAAGTATAGAATAGATAATATTTATATATATATATATATATATATATGTGTCCGTTAGCACGATAACTCAAGCAAGTATAAATAAAGTATAAATAGTTATAGTTATATAAAGTATAAATAGATTAAGTATCAATACAGGCTTAACTTTGGATTTCTATAAGAAAAAGAAGACACATTTAACTCTTGTGTTTTTTAAATGTCTCTATAGTTATGAAATATTTAATATTACCTATGTTTATGTAATTTTTTAGCATATTTCCCATATAGGGAATAAGCTATTACCGTAGTACCGTACTCATGGTAAGACCTGATCCTGGGAGCTGGGACCGATTTACTTTTTTGTTTTGAGGTCCCTAGAGGCCAAAAACACCATCCGTTCAAATTCATATATATATAATCCGTTAGCGCGATAACTCAAGCAAAAATGATCCAATTTTGATTAAATTTGGTAGAAACATGTAAACCTACATTTATTCGAACGGGTTTTCGAACCAGCATGATCGGATTATGGGAGTGGGGATTTATGGAGGGTTTTATGGGGTAAAAATAGGGTTTTCCCAATTATCACCCTAAAAACAAAAGATTTTTAGCAATTTCTTTCTAAACCATTTTGTAGAGCTTAAAAAAAGAAATAATTTATTATATTAAAGTGCTGTTGTATGCCTAACGGTCACGGAGAAAATTTAAAAAAGTGTATTTAAAATTCCCATGTTATTATGGAGAAAATAAAACTGTTGCAGTTTATTTATTTATGGATATATGTTGATGAAATTTGGCAAATTTATTTATTTCATCAAAACTAGGTATACTATTTACGTATGGTCAAAAAACACGTATTACCTTCCCTGTAGCAGCAAACCTAAACACTCATAAAATCTTATGTTATTGGGAATAAATATGTCTTATTTATGCAAGTATTCGAGTAAAAATTTAATCAGACAAGTAGAAATTTTCTTAGTCTGCAGGTTTGCTGCAGCGGGGGTATTTACTAAATTTAATAGGCCTACTCACAAACCTAAATCCAAAACTTATGCCTAATTTTAAATTATTTCTGCAAAACTAAAAAGAAATTTTTTGTAACTTAAATTACCAAAATTAAAGTTTTCTTAGCATCATTTCATAAAATTGGCCATTATTATTAGCAATTAATGTTACAAAAACTAAAAACCAAAATGACTGCCATTTTGAAATTTTCTAATTGGACCAACTTTTTTATTAAAATAAAGGTTTCTTATACCTCAAACTATATATAGGCTACTAAGTAGGGCATAATAGAGATTGAAGTAAAAATAAACTCCATGCTAGAAATAAGAAAAAAGGCGAATATCTGGTCAACAAAGCGTTCAATGGAAAAAATTTCATTTTTAATTTTCTCTTTATTTTGACCCATGGAACCATTTCATGGAGTTTGACTGTTTACTTACAGGGCACACTGAATATAGACCCTATTTCTTACGAGTTTATGTAGACGAGGCTGTTAAATGGACATACACATTTAATTATTTACATAAATAATAGCCTATCAGCTGTTTTTAGCGAATTTCCCCTATAGGGAATAAGCTATTACCGTAGTACTCAGAATGGTAAGACCTGGACCTGGGACCAATTTAATTTTCGTTTTGAGGTCCCTAGAGACCAAATATATATATTTTTATATCTGTCCGTTAGCGCGATAACAAGAACAAAAATCATCCGATTTTGATGAAATTTGGTATAAACTTGTAAACCTTTATGGGGGGTTTTATGGGGCAAAGATTGGTTTTCCCCATTTTTGACCCTAAAAACATAAAATTTAACATTTTCTTTCCAAACCATTTTGTGGAGCTTATAAAAACAAATAATTTAGTATATTTAGGCGTTATTACACGCCTAATGGTTACGGGAAAAATTCCAAAAAACTGTAAATTTAAAATTCTCATGTTCTTATGGAGAATAAGTATACTGTTGTAGTTTGCTTGTTTTACGATCATATTTTGATCAAATTTGGAAAATGCATTAATTTCATACTAAACTATTAACATTTAAAAAAAAAAAAAAAAAACACCTTTTTACCCTCCCTGTTGCAGCAAACCTAAGTACTTGTTAAACTAATGTTGTTTAGATAGGGAATAAATGTGATATTTTTAAGGTGACATTTTAGTGTAAATCCAATCAGGCAAATGGAAATTCGCGTAGTCTGCAGGTTTGCTGCGGCGGGGGTATTTTCAATTAGGACAGTACAGTAGAGTCCCGCAAACTCGGCACTCGATAACCCGGCAGTCTGGATAACTCGGCCATTACCTGGCTCAGAAAATTAGTGATTTTTTTAGTCCGAGTTAAGCTGGATTTAAGTCAGCTTTAGTCAAATTATTCCCAAATGGTACAAGGATTTGTTCATTCATTCATTTATTCATTTCTACGGCAAATGCCATTAAACAATACATATCAAAACAAGATGGTCTGCAAAAATAAATACAAGAATAGCAAATACATGGAACAATACATTCAAGAGACTAGACAGATTGTATAGAATGATCCTACTCATTACAAAATAAAACATGCATGAACAAGTAGAATAAATAGTTGCAGACTAACATTACAAGAGACATCATATTATACTAATGTTGTACTATTAGTACATATGTATTTGTTGTACTATATCTGATGACTTAATACTGACTTGTAAAATAATATAAATAAAAAAGGTGGTTAAAAAGCTAAATTGTTCTGATTTTTAACCCTAGTTCCCGATAACCCGGTATTTCACAAACTCGGCACCCTTCCAGTCCACATTACGCCGAGTTTGCGGGACTCTACTGTATTTATATTGAGGTACTTTTAGTTGTTTATGATGCTCATGGGAGTCTTTAAAATATAAGATAATTTTATGGAGTGATACAACTCAGCTTACAAAAAAAAAAAGGATTAATGAGGAGTGGTAGCCTACTATGACTTACTTTCATCCTCATGGTTCTTGTAGGCCTAAGAAGTATTTTCAAAATTTAGAAACTCAGATATTAAAAGGATTGTGTAGGGCCTACTCTCAAATTATGAAATTAAATAAGCCTCTATCCAGTTAAACATTACCAACCAGAAACAATACATCAATCTCATGTACCAAACTTGTAATGCCAATTTTTACACTCCCGAGACACCCGTTAGACCATGTACTCAAAAGTCCATAATGTGTGGTGGGGTGAGATTGTACAATATTTGAAAATGATAAATGATTGAGCAATATTCACAGCAATAATTTGGCTATGAAAAATCATCTCATCCAGTTGGACTATTTCTCGATCAAGGAGTGCCTGGAGGATAATTTAGCAAGTAACTGACTCTCCCTCCAATCCAGTGGCGGCTAGCCCATAAGGACTCTCGGACGCCGCCCTCCCAACAATACATAAATATATTACATTTAAATATTATTCAGCTAAATTTAATTAAAATTGCTTTGACGAGTGCTTTGACGAGTACTTTAAACAATATAAAACATAAATATATCAAATAATTGGATAATTAAATTCAGTAAAGACTAATTTTTGATGATCGCTTGCTTAGTAAGGACGGTGCGGACGGTGGCCAGACCGCCCCAATTCCAATAAATGTAATCTTATGGCAGAACAACCGAACAGCGCTGAGGGTGCCATGACGCCATTCCTCTAAAACAGGGCAGCCATCGACCACAGTCTGGAAATTCTGTATGACAAGCTACCGTTATGATGGGTAGAACTGATGTTGGCGCACCTGTTTGTCATAACTCAAAATATCTAATTTTTAAAACTATAAAACAACTAAGCTAACGTTAAAATGTTATTTTGGTTTGGTGTTGATGTTTAGTTTGTTGGATTTCACATCCAGTTTAGTTAAAGGTAGGCCTAGGCCCTGCATTTCTGGTTTATTAATATTATTGAAGTAAAATATGGTTTTTTTAACTTTACATACTTGCTATAGATTAGTAGGCCTACCTATAGGATGCTAATGGTATGTTTATAATCAGAAAATTAAATTAGTTTGGCATTGTAAAAATTAAATTAAATCCAAACTGTTTTATAGAAGGGGGAATTGGGTACTAGGTTTTGTAAAATGCACTTTGTAGGCTAAAACAAATTGAATCACTTTACAACTTTTATGCCTTCATTTAAAGGCTTCCAATAGACATCTTTTCACTTATTTTCAGACCTGCAAGTTGTTTTGTTCTATTAAAAAAAAATATATATTTTTTTCATACCCAATTACCCCAAAGGGGGGAATTGGGTACTACACCTATTATACATTAAAATGACGTATTAAAAATTCTGGGAAAATGGGTGTTATTAAGAAAACACAAATAAGCATTTTAAGACAAGTTTTAGTCTCTTATCATTATTTTTGACAATTTTATAGAGCGTTAAAG